CCTCGGGCGACTATATCCAAGAGCGCCGACGAGCATCGAGACTCGATATGACACGGTATGTAGAGCTTGTTCTTTGAATCGTAGCTCTCACTGACGACTCTGCTAGATCTTGAGACTATAACTGGGGGCTCTGTATCGTCTGGGACGTGCCTTCGCGACGCGCTCCTTCTTTTTGGCTTCGCGCCGGTGGGAACGTTGTACTATGGCGGCGCAGTCACTTTGTCTTGAGGATGTCGTCTTGGTCCTTGGCGTGGACTGGGATTCGGACAGGCCGAACTTGGAGTCGTATTTGATGGGCAAGGTAATGGTTGGCGCCGATCCACGGACAGTCTAACGTGCATGAATTCTCCGCCGAGTTCATATACTACCTCGTTGTCGGGCTTATTAGCGCTTTGGACCCCGACGTGTGGCACGGACACTGTCAAATGGAGCGACCTTGTGCTTCTGACGTTGTTTAAGAGACACGTCCAACTTCTTGACGCTGGATGCCTAGACATCTACGGGCCCGTCCATCGCGGGTCATATGCCCTATTCACGTTAATGCTGGTGAGTTAATATCAGGATCATGTCGACTGACTGATAAAATCTGCTTCCAGGAATGCGAGCCGGAGATCGTTCCACGACGTCAACTGGACGATGTCCCTTCTCGATGCTCGTGACGCCTACGACGGAGGATCCCTCTAGTGTCCAGTAAGTCCTGTCTCCATTTTAAGCTTACATCGGTACTTAACGTTCCCGAAACAGAACAAACTCTATCTCTGTACCTCTATCACACCATACTCAGAGTCCTCTGTCATTGGCGGGGGTCATCTGGCGGAGCCGCCAGACTTCGATTCCGCTTCCCTGGACAAGTTCTTGCTCCGAAGTCTTGAAGAGCCGTTTGACCTTGAGTGGACGCCGTCGTCGTCTCCGTCATGTAAAGGTAACGTATTGACTTCATCCAAGTCTGCGTCAATTCAAAGTATCATGTAATGAGTTCGAATGAATAAGACTTGGACATGTAGGAGGTGTCGTTGCTATGGGTAGGGACACGACTTGTCAGTCGGTACGCACACCTCCGGGATGTCTGGCAGCAGTCGTTGAAGGTGAGCATTTTCATTCCGGTGAGTTTCCTATGAAGCTTATCGCGTACTTTAGGCTTGTTCTTTCTGAGTATTCGTGTCAAATTTGCCTGTGTAGTGAATACCAACCATTGTTGTAGTAGTAGTATTCTACAATAAATTGTAAGTTCCATGTTGTAAATGACTTTCCGCTGTCGGCATCTCAATCCCAAGATGTGGACCCATCTTAATGCATGCGCGCCTCCTCACTTCCTTCCGGATTTATCTAGCATTGCGAACCAGGAATACAAAGTGGCTTCAGAGACAACTGCACGAGTGTTACCTGACGATTAAACTCAAATCGCACTGCTTGTCGGGGACACGTCTCCTAACGGATACTACATTCTACTCCTTTCAGTCTTCTGATGTCCATTTTTTGCCTTTTACCGCTGGTGTATTGTACGCCAAGAAGAAACGAAGCATTCTATGTCACATCGTCAATCGAGGACCCGTATCCCAGCGGACGCGCGCCTCACTGTGCGCTGCAAAGTTGCCTTTTTTTCTTCCTTCTACGTACTCTATACCAAATTCCGCGCTCCAGTGGAGAAATCAGCCAAGTGCCTCTTCGCATTCACGCCCGACTTTCACACTACCGATCGAGGCTAGATATTCTAACGGATACAACCCCAGTGTGCAACTCCATCTCAGCATTTTTTCCCTGCCACCCCGCCAACCAGTTGAGACTCTCAACGGTCACTCTCAGATGAATGTTGCTTGCTATGACTACCTCAAGGCCAGATATCTGAACGGATGCGTGCCCACATCATATACTTGCGATGTCTTTTTCCTTCCACCGCTTTTCTCATCTCGCACACTTCCTTTCGTCTACGAAATCATTAACACGCCTTTAAGTAACATACCTTTATGTATCCCGAGTGAAGTCAATAATCAGTGCCAGTCGTACTACACCTGGAGGCCACATATCCCAACGGATACATCCTCATCGCATCTTCGACAATCCTTCTTTTTCAACACAAGTATAAATTAGCATCAACTAGCAGTCACTATAGCTACACTCGAAATAAACAAAACCAAAAATCCACAGCATGTAAATCAAAGCCAAGTAGTATAGTAATGTACGCATATAGGTATCCAATAAATCACTCAAACGAAAGGCTATAACGCGACACCAATCTCCGCGTGCACCTCCTCCTCATCCACATAAGCCAGCGTCGCCTCTTCCAGCTCTTCATCAAAAGTCGGCTGATACTGCGCCCCCAGCTGCCGACGCTCCCTCTCCTCCTTCACCCTAGAGATCACATCCTTCAGCTCCTCCACAACCTCCACCGGCTTCCGCGACTCCTTCTCCTTCTCCCTCTCCAGCTCCCGATTCTCTTTCGCCGCACGTATCCGCTCCTCCCTCGACATTGTACTCCGTTCGCGGGTCCACGAGGGCTTGTCAAGGCCCAGATCGTGCTCATAAACCTCTTCGATACCAAGCTCCATTTCATCGTCGCGGGGAAGAAGAATAGGATGATCGATACCGGTAGAAACGAGCACCTCCAGCTCGTGATCCAAAATGCTTTCTTCTGAGACAGGACCATGGTCGAGGCTCGGCACAGATCCTAGTGATGAGGGTCGAGACGATGACGATGACGGCGCGGGTGGAACGAGTGCTTCAACCAAACAAGCCCGCCCACGCTCGCATTCCCGTAACGCCACACCAAGTTCGCGCCGTAACCGGTCGTACGCCTGGATTGCAGCATGAGGCTCCGTGGTATCCGTCTCAGAATGCAACAGCGGCGCAGAAGACGAATCCGACGCGTCCGAATGCACACGCCGGTGCCCTTTCAGAGCACCCACCGCACCCTCCAGCTCCCCGCCTGCAGCACGCATCGCTTCCCTCAGCTTCTCGACATGCAGCCCAAAGCGCGCCATCCGCCCCGGCACGGGTGCATAGCCCTCCGTCTCGCCCAGGTCCAAGTCCAGAGTCAGATTCGGCGGCGACAAATCACTCAGCCTGTGACGCTCCGCCCAAACCCGCGACACCTCTCGGGAATGTCTGCTCGGTCGACCGAGCTCCTCCTGACCCTGCTCGTGTTCAGCGATAGCTTCACCTAGGCGCGCTGCTGCATCTGCAAGAGCTCCAGTGAGCAACGACATGACACTACGCACGTCCTCCCAGTAATCCTGCAATGCTTCGTCCGTGAATCGCAGAGCAAGCAGATGCGCTGCGGTATACCGTTTAGCCGATATCGCAGCAGACAGAGAGGCCTGCAGCGCAGAAAGGCGCGGTGGTTGAATGAAAATGGGGCTCATCGGAGACAGCTGCGACGACATTCGTCGCCGGCGTTGAAGATCCAGCGCCTCGAGTCCAAACACGTCGCCATGCGTTCGCGCATCCTGTAACGGATCGTCGCTCTCGTCTTCCTCCTGAAGAGGCGTCACAGGCGCACTGCGACTGGGAGAATGCGAGAGCAGCGATGTCAACTCTGACCTTCGTTTACCGTTTGGCGTCCCGTACCAAGTACTCCGTTTCCCGCCCCATGTCGCGCGTTTATCCTCCATCGCGGTCTTCCTGGTCAATGTCGGCAACGACACGGGTCTCTGTGGATTCGGAGGCGCATACATTTCGCTCAGCTGGCGCAATTCGTCCGGGGACGTCAGAGCAATAAACAGCGGCCGAATGTTGTCGCAAGCGGTCTGGGTCGTGTGCAGCGTGGATTGTAACGCTACACGCAGGGGTGTATTGTTCGCTGTAGAAGACCGGGAGCGAGTGATGCCGGGAGAAGAGGGATTTGCTGATGGTGGGTTGGATACGTCCTTTTCCAGAATACCGAGTGCTTCGTGAACGACAGAATCCCAAGTATCACCGGCGCACACAAGCTCTTTGAGCGCGTCAATCGACTGTTAAACAAAGTCAGACGAGACGTGTAGGAATGGCAGCCACTTACATCCTGCATGTCCTCCGTCGCGCCAGCCTCCACGCTAGTTATCCAAGCAAACCCACAGGCTGCTAAGCCGAGAATAAAATATCCTGCACACAGTAACACAATTCCTACCGCCCACACCCAATATTCAGCATTCTCCTCGTCCTGCTTCGGGTGGCCTGACGTTCCGCCACTACTCCGTCTACGTCTCACAAAACTGGTCTCACTTGGCGTAGCAATCGTCCCAGGAAATGTCGGCGATTTGGGGTACGGCGTATGCGTAGAAAGTGTCGTCGATAGAAGGTTCGAAGATATTATGTCGTACTTGAAGCGTTCCACAAACGGCGTCCGTGCGATACTCGGAAGGAAGGATTGTACAAGCTAAGATGGGCATTAACGAATTGGTCTTGAGCGCGACGAGGGAAATCAGCACGTACCATAGCAACGTAACCAGATCCCATCCCACATCCAAGCTCAACCTCCTGCTCCTCGTCTTGCGAAACATAGTCGCCCGGCATACCACCCTCTCCAGCGTCTACCAAAGCACATATCAGCTCCAGCACCGTAGCGCTCAAGAAACGCGTTACATACCGCGCAGATACCCCGCCATCGGGCCTTCCTCATCGTAAAAAGCTTCTGCCATATTATATAGTTGTTTAATAGTAGAGGTTTCGTATAATCGTCCGTTCGCAGCACAGGCGGTAAAAGGCTAAGGAGTGGCGGCGGTTGGGTATATTGTCTTTTTTTGGGCGTCCCAGGCGAATGGGTCTTTTTGTTGGTCGTTTTTTATTGTCGTCGTCGCAGTGGTGGGAGGAAACCAAGACCCTGCCATGTCATGTGCATTACGTTGGCACAAAGGGGATCCTGTGACGTAAATCAGCGGTTGATTTCGACGACGACGACAATGGGTATGAAATGTAGGACTCATTATTTAAGATGGAATGGAAGGGCAGCCAGAGTTGGCGCGTCGACAATAGATATCAGAGATGTAATTTACGATGGCCCTGCAAAACAAAGGTTGCAATGGTATCTGCCCCGGAGAGGCTCGAACTCTCGACCTTCCGATTGCCACCGACGTCGAAGTAGATAGATAACAGTCGGACGCTGTAACCAACTCAGCCACGGGGCATGCCCACTCCAACGATATTCATAACAGCTTCGTCTCAAGTCGTTAAACGATCACTTTGTTGCAATATTTAAAATCCCACTCTAGAATTTGAGATGTGTGACATATTTGTCAAGCTTGCTGCTTCACTCCTTCTTGGCGCCAATACAACAATGAGGCAAGAACAGGGCCAGACCTCAAATAGAACGCGTATGGTCTATTCGGACACGTGTCCTTGTGATTGGAGTACAATGCTCAGTTCAAACTCGTACAATCTTTGTATCGGGGATCTAAGAAACACTGTTTAGTGTTCTGGTGGGAGTGGAAAGAGTAGTAGAAGCAAAATCTCAAAATATGCATCATGCAAGATTCAGAACTCGGCAGTGAACACTGAACCGAGTAGACGAAAGCGAGAGGACACATGATCCGGGGCGACTCGGCGGCATGGTTCGTCTTGGCGCTGACTCGCCTCGACGAGGAAGAAAAATCTGTTGTCTACCTCACTATGGGTAGGGTATCTGCCCTCGATCGGTAGTGTTAAAGAGTCGGGCGTGAATCGGGAGAGGCACTTGGGAGATCTCTTCATTGGGGCATGCAATCCGAAATGTATAGGAACGGCAGTGGGAAACAAAGGATCAGATTATTCCTCTGCAGTGAGACGCGCGTCCGCCGGGATACGTGTCCTCGATTGACCGCGTGACGCAGACAGCTCCATTGCGTCAATACAACAGCGTTGACGCGGAAACAAGAACAACTCAAAAGACAAATGGGAGTAGAACATAGTATTCGTTAGGAGGCGTGTCCCCGACGAGCAGTGAACGCTGGGTGTATAGTAATCGCGCATCGATGCTCATATATCCTTGTGTGCCCATTGTCGGGACGAGGAAAATGTTTGGGCCTCTGCAATCACGGACGTGTATCCGTTAGGATATGTAGCCTCGACAGACAGGACGCTCATTGTATAATCCGGCGTGAAGTGGAAGAGGAACAGTGTTATACATAAAGAGTGTGGTCCCTCAATATGTTACTGGCAGTAAAATGAAAAGAAAGCGAAGGCCTGCCAAAGTGAATGATGGGGCGCACATCCGACTCATCGTTGTGTCCAAGACGAGCGGAACGTAGCAGTCATGCTGCTTTTCGTGCTTCGGAAAGTCGTGATCTGGCAGTATGAGTTTAGGAGCTCTGTGCAATCAGATTTTCTGGCGGGAGCATGCCATGCGCGTTTCGTACCGTCTTGGCGATCTTTATGGATTTCAGTGAACGATGGATGTTAAGACGAAAAGGCCGAATGTCAGCAATATCATGAGCCCGGTTCGGTTTATCGTATACCCGGTGATCTACTTCCTGCATCACGACGAAGGGCGCGTCTAAAACCCCCTTGTGCTGGTCGGTCTAAACGGCTCAGGATCATCTTCGAGCGCGCTTTTACCATAGACTTGATTCACTGTCTGCGCTCCAGATTCTCCCACTCCTTAATTCGTTGATAAACGAATGCCTCAAAACCGTGTTTCATTGCTTCTCTATAACCTTCAGCGGCCAGCTCTCCGAAGCGCCCACCACTTGGGCGCAGCTCATCTGCTTTTCCGTCGCTAAGCACATCACCTTTTCTGACACAAAGCGGCTTCAACTGCCCTTGCTCTAGTCTATTTTGGCTTCTTAGAGCGTCATTTGTGCTTGGATGTGGCCAACGGTCATCCTCGCCTCAAGTTATGCCTGCGATACCTGTGCCTGCGAGAAGGCTTAGGAGTACAAGGCCACAATTCTCCGCAGTGCGTTCATTCATTACGGACTCGCCGTTCTTTTCACGGTCTGGACTAACCGCGTCCTACTTTGTGTGCGTTGAGTGTATAACCTGCGAATACATCATTACCTGCCTTTCGCTTCAGTCATCATCATGTTGTTCTCCGCCGCCTTTTATTCACTCCTTCTGGCCTCAGTCACTCGCGCTGTTGTTCTCGGAGAGGCAAGTCCTCCTCTTGCGTTTGGTGCTGCGCCTGAGTGATCGCTCTTTACAGCGCGAATTCGAGACTTCTGTCGCCGCTGGACCCATCGTATGTAGCTATCAATTTAATGTTGGACATGTTCTGACTACCGCCTCCTAGACGACGGTAATTCCTCTTTCTTTGAAATCTGCTGGATGTATCTAAGCTGCGATCGTAGACGATTGCCGCTGGCACGCCCATTACGACTGCGATTAGCGGGACAGTCACCTCAATTGTTGGTCGCCTTTGCTCTCTCTGTCCTTCGATTCATTTGACATTGACCACAGCTCGGCGGAACCGGAACGACAGCGACTGCGAGTACATTGATCCTAACACCGTTCACTAGCTGACTTGTATCCCAGGTCGTATCTAACGGGACCACGATTGCGTCCTCGAGTTTAGCGACTGTCAGCTTCATTCCGCTTTCATTTCACGAAGGATGATCGCTCATCATTCTCCTTCCAGGTCACTGTAACCGTCACCCATCCGAATGTGTCCTGGTTCGTCGACTCTATGGCCATCCCAATATATGATGCTCATCCTTCATCTCCCTCAGACGAATGCGGCGTCGATCACGCTCAACCAATGCAACGGAAAGCTCGCCACCGGCGCTCTCACATCCACGGTTGACAGCTCGAACGCCACGTCCACCAGTGTCGGATTCCCCATCACCGCTACGACTGTCACTCTGAGCGCTACCACTAGCGTCATCACGATTGGGGGCACTACTAGCACCGTCACCGTTGCGCCTACCAGGACTGTCGTAACCCTCACTGCCGCTACTTCAGTCGCCACTGGCGTGAATGGGACGACTAGTAGCACTGTCTCCACCCGCGCCCGGACGACAACCGAGATGGCTACACAGGTGTCTTCTTCCAGTGCGGAGATTGTTACGCAGAGCGCCTAATCTGTATGTGGCTCGTTTCTTTGGAGACTACCTGTAATTGATTGGTTTACAGTGTCTGACGTCTTGTTGGTGTTGCTGTACCGACATGCATACTTTCTAATGGACCTTTTCATTTCGTTATGTTCAGCTGAAAATACGTACGACTGGACACTCCGAGTACCTACGGATGGTAATATTCATTGCCCTTGACCGACTTGAACATTGGCCTCGACAGTCAGCCTCCATTTTTGAGGGGAGACGTCAATATCCAAAATGACGATTTATTTACGCGATGTTCAATAATCGGTTAACAGTCTTCACCGTTTGTTTATTGCTAGCGCGTTCAATTACAATTATTCTATATTACATCGCTGTTCCAGCTATCAAAGTCACATCCTCGTCAACCGCTAGAAGGCCCAGGGCCCCGTCGCTGGCGTTTTCTAGACGCGTTCGCGGGCCGCCGGGATGGCCCTGCCGCTGGGCGCTTGCGGGAGGGAGTGGACTGCTCAGAACCGGATGACGACTCTGGCCGCTCCTCTCCGTCCCCCCCGCGCGCCAGAAGCGGTGCTGCTAGGAATAAAGGCTCATCTTCCGGGGGTGGCGTTGCGAGTCTCCCAACGTCTGCTTCCTCGGCGTCGCGAGCGATTTCATCCTGTACCCTGATATTTAATCTCCTCATGTCTGCCGTGAGTCTGGGATCAGGTTGGAAGTCCTTCGGTGGGGCATGGCGGAACCACATGCTAGCAATATAAACGACACGATTAGCACACCGCTTATGCTCTGGGAACGGGAGGCCGAGGAACCTGCCCATCCCCGAAGCAATATGCATCATATACGTCGCCGTGAGTGAAATAAGGCGTGCCAGGCACCCGTTAGAACGATTTGGGCATCTCTGGTTGTTACAGACGTGCGCGAAAATCAAGATGACAGACTAGGAACCGGTGAGGTAAGTGGAGGTCGAAAGGTGAGCCAAAACCTCACGTCGACAGTGAAGAATACTGTCTGTAGAGCAAAGTGGTGCGACAAACTTGAATTTCCGCCGCCATCGAACTGTACACGGAGTGGAAAATCCTGTACTGTAGTCAAGCTTTGAATTGGCATGCCATAATGGAAGGAAATCAATCTTGTGATAGAAGTTTTCGAAACATAGGCAGTTCGCACATGCGAAGTAACGTCATTCCAGGGGGGAAGAATCTGCTATGTATGAAATCGTGAACCAAAACAGCAAAGCAGATGTTACTTGCGTATTTCTTTTTCGTGTCGGTGGATTCCGGCCGCATTCTCGCCACCAGTGAGAGCTTTTCCAGTCCGCGCACGACATATCACCTCAAGTGTAGGAATTAGAAGGAGTTCTGAAGGAGCGGTGAAATGAAGGTACAACGAGAGGCAACTTATCCGCAAACGTCAAGATGTCTACTTAGGGAAGCCATGCGCCAGAAGGGGACCAATGCCATAATGACGAGCACACTAATATTCAGCGAAGTGTCTATGATGGTGCGAAGGGCTATGCCGTGACGCGTATACTTAGAGCATGGAGAGTTGTAACGTGCCCAGCGGCCGTGCGGTGCAAATTGGAAGCACCATGTCGCGCCCAGACTGGCAGGTATATCGTGCCCGACGCGTGCATTAAGCTGTAATGCTCCGTTAGATTGTCTGACTGGGGTGAAAGACTAGTCTAGTCCCTAGGTGGGTCAATCATTGCCCATTCAAGCCGAAATTTCTGATGGCGTGGCTAATTGGAGGTCAAAACATGTAGCACGGGTTTTACCAAAGGACCTGAACTTTACATTGACTCATGTTGACGAGGTTCAAGGGACAGAGGCAAGGAAGAGGCCCTGTGGCGTGCATGATGCGGCGGATGATGGTGGTTGAAGACGAAAATACGATAACGTGATCAAGGCACAAGTGTCTGGCTATCGCCGAATCACGACATCTTCGACGGCTCGTGTGAGAGCCGGCTTCCACTTCGCTTACTGATACTTGAAGACGAGAACACAGACTCGGTTTTAGCACGCGCCTCATAGGGTTATGATTGGTTTTCGATTGAGCACTGTTCTACACACTTGGTCATTGATTTCCAACACGCGAAGAGAAGCGCAGTCTACCGTCTAGGCGCTATGGAATACCACCCTCGTAGTACACAAAGTCTCCTCGTC